ATTACAGGGATTGGTGTTATTAAAGAGATTGAGTGTTTTAAGCGGGGGTTGGTTTTCCCAGGTGAATTATTGGAATTCTAACGTGAATGAAGTCCAGGGGGTCGTGATGGATCAGGAGGGGAAGGTGGTGCACCGGCTGTTTGGGAAGTGGCATGAAGGACTCTACTGCGGAGTGGCCCCTTCTGCAAAGTGCATCTGGAGACCAGGTGAGACCCGCATTGTTTCTTGCCTAAGGAGGGCGCCATGAGTGACAGAAGGAAGGAAATGTCAGATCATCCTAATGAGATTAAAAACCTAGATGCTAAGCCAATTGTAATTATATTTATACTTAACATATAAGTTAATATAAGTCCCCATATTTGATAATAAGGGGTTATAAAATTTGATAAGTGGTCAGAGATTAGGCTTCATGTAAAATCACTCTAAATGTAATGCCTACATTTCAAAAGCTAGACATATTTATTAAAGAGTTTAGATAATTGAAATACACAAATTCAAGTCCTTACTCATGTTATTTATTCTGTCTCTCTAAAACAAAAGAAAGCCCGCAAACATCTGTAATCCACAAATTCAATAATTTATCAGAATAAGTGATCTCTTCACTTGATCAGCAAAAAGCTGCAATTTACTAAAACACATCAAGAGAGTTCTGGTAATAATACACTAGCATATAATTTAATATCAAGTGCAAATGGAGCAAGCCTCCACATGACATTTATTTTCATTAGAATTTTGTCAGTTAAGTTCTAACTTTAAAATTAGTCATTGGTTTCCTAAGAGACCTCAGTGTGTATTTAAACTTCCTACTGGTAGAGTGGTTAGTTAATTCATTCTGCAGTTATTTACTGAGTACTGACTATGCATCAGTGTTTGCTCTAGGAGCTAGGAATGTATCAATGAGCAAAGCATGCAGGGATCCTATTTTTGAGTTTAGTTGAAGGTGCCAATAAATATTAACATAGATCTGCATCTTTTTGTGTTTCTGATGAAATCTTAATGATAATAGCTAATCACCCTAGCAGTTAGTTACCCAACTGAATATTTGAGAGAAAAATTATAGCGTGATTTAGTCAGTGAAGACTATTACATGTGCCAAGTTTTATTTTGAAGGCTGGAATTTATTAAATATATATTCTGTCAGTTAAGTGTCTTAAACCTCTTTGCCTCTCACTGTGGTTCATCGGCCTGATTCCAGGTTCCATGCCTACCAACTACGAGCTCTACTACGGTTTCACAAGGTTTGCCATTGAGCTCAATGAGTTAGATCCTGTACTAAAAGATCTTCTTCCACCAACAGACGCCCGATTCCGGCCAGATCAGAGGTGAGCTTGGCAGTGGTATTTAAAATGGACACTAGATCATGGCATCACTACAGGTGTCACTATACATGTCATCGAGACTTATTTTCACCACCATTATTTATTTATTCATTCCCTTATATACTCAGCAGTATTTGTGAATTTTCTGCCCTAGATAAAACATCAGCCATAGAATGATCATAACAGGTTAACTCACTAAAAAGTACTCCACGGAAGACAACACGGATATTTTTTAACAAAAAGGTTCCCCCATCACCCCTAAATTTACAAAGGTCTGCAAATTCATAAATTCTATCTCCACTAAATATAGAATCACTCCTCACCCTACATTTATACTTTTTTACTGCTATTACACTATAGCATGGAGTATTTTTTAAACAGAAGAATAAGAGAATAAGTTACAGCGACACCTAGAAATGCTTTGCGTCAAAGTCTGGAGTTTGCCTCATATGGTTTAGATCCCACAGGGTGTGAGATGTACTCAAAATGTAGTACCTTTAATACCTTCTGATTCTCATTTTTTTTTTTTATTCTTATGTAGTTCTGTACTCATATTGTCTACTCCTATAAAATTAATTTTACTTTTTCCAAAATCTTTATATGCCATGCAGATTCCATCTAAGATCATTTTCTGTTTCTAGTGTATTTGTGGCTTTATTTGTCTTCTGCCAAAATGTTCCCGGCATTGAGTGTTCTACTGTTCAGTTCTCTTCCCTCTCTCTCTCTCTAGAACATGCAGTCTCATTGTTTAACATTCAAATTTATCAATAAGCTTCCTGCACAGTGTGTATCAAATTGTATCCCTGTTCTTTGCTCTGATTTTGAAATTTAAATATTTGCAAATCACCATTGGGTTCTCTTTTTCTTTCTCAATTCTATTTCAGTATTCCCTTTCTGAATTTCATTGACTATTCATGTCTTTTCCGTGGTCTTTTGTAATTTTCCACAACTGTTCCCTTTTCTTTTTCATCAGTTTTACCTTTTCCAATAAAATGGGTAAACTCCCTTCCTCTCAATCTGTTCTAAAACTAGATGGAGAACAGCCAGTTACCATCCTCTATTCTGTGACCTTAACAAGTACTTTTTGATAATATGGAAAAGGAGCACAGCCTTGGACTTCATGCTGTTCTAACCCTGGGCTCCAGTCGTCCTGAAAATTTCAAGTTGTAGAACTCTAGACAGCACAGAAAAGTCTTCAAGGCCAAACCACTCATCTTTCACTCCTACCATTATATTGCTGTATGCAATAATTCAGCTCACATACACAGAAAGTATGTTAATTGATGGCCAGGGATGAGGGGACATTATCAGAGTGCTACTGTTTATGTTCACAGCAAGCAGAATGTAATTGTTTGCAAGTTAGATCATTTTTCTTATTAGAAAAGAGGATGATATATTTAAAGAGTAACTGTTTTCTGCTTAGATTTTTGGAAGAAGGAAATTTAGAAGCTGCAGCAGCAGAGAAGCAAAGAGTAGAGGAACTCCAGAGATCTCGAAGACGATACATGGAAGAAAACAACCTTGAACATATACCAAAATTCTTTAAGTAAGTCAGTCTATTTCCATAACGAGTTCATGTTTTGCAAATGGTTGCCACAGGCAATGAGAAACTCCAGGTGAAAAGAAAATGAGGGAACATAAAGGTGGACAAATTAAAACTGGTTTTGGCAGTGAAAATAATTTTGTCCTTGTGCGTAGTTTGTAACCATAAAAATAAAATTTCCTTACAGCTCTTCTTTTCGTGGACAGAAAAAAGGA